TCCGACGTTTGTTTTGAACTCAATAGACTGCCGCTATGCACGCTTAGGAGGTCAAATTAAACCCCAAACGAAAAGGGGGTGAAACCCTCGCGTACAGTAATTGGGTGGTTCAAGCGTGCTCAACATAGTGTCGGGGACCGCTTGGGGCTGCAAGGGTTGAAGAACAACGTGAGCCGCAGCCCGCACGGTGTTGAAAGCGTGGGCACATATCCTGACATGCCAGAAACAAGAAGGGCTCAACATATTAGGTGCCTGTGAGATCCCGCAGTTCCGCAGAGCAAGAGGACTCTAGCAACTGACATCCTGAAACTTGTCTTACACGCTATGGTAGACCTCCAGGCACCTGTGTATATCCCTATAGAAAATCCTTACATGATCCTCATGACCCCGAGAATGGAGCCAACCCCTTGGCTCCCGGGCGGAGCCGAAGCTTGGAAGCGTCGGTTTGAGCAAGCCATATTGTAACTCGGCCTTGAGACTGGCTCAGGGGTTTAGGATTTGTGGTTCAGGGTTCAGGGTTTGGGGTACAGGGAGGGAGAAAAACATGCGAGCATCATGAAGAAGCCAGCTATTTAGAAACAAAACTGTAGCTTTTCATCTTCGGGCCTCGTGTTGCCTGGAACGCGCTGAGGGGTACACCAGACAAAGTTATGAAAAGCTACCAGACAATGTCTTGTTCGCAAGCGCTCAATTCCCCTGTCGTGTCGCCTCAGCCAGACGCTAAACTCGGAATCCGACGTGCAAGCTTCCCTATGCTCCCTAAGCCTCCTTGCGACAAGTAGGCTTTCAGGCGCCCAACAGTGGAAGTTTGTTGATCATTGGAAAACATGGGCAGACATGCCCGGGACGGCCCGTATTTATGCCCTGCCGGAAAGCCAACCTCACAGGAAAATGAAACCATGACTGCGGCAGCTGCATGCCGAATCCAAATCGCAAGACCCTTGAAAACTGAGGCACGAAACATGAAGCTCAGGCTGTTAGCGCCTACGAGTATGACCCTTGTCCTCTAGAATGCCCCTGATCCCAACCTTCCAAACCCCTATCCTACTCTACGAGCCGAATCAGATTTCAAGGCTGGGATCAGCGCCAGCAGCGATAAAGCAGAACCCCATGCAAAGCCTCAGCAAGATGGGCCGTTGGTTCTGGATGTAAGCACTGGGATTTTGAGGTGGACTTGCCAGCTTCTGGATTTGGGATTCGGGGGATATGCAAGCGTTTGCACTTAGATATGGTGGGCTTCGACGGTCCGCCTGTCTGACTCTCTGTCTGCCTGCCCATCCGCCCACCCGGACGCAAGTCTCCGTGTCCATCCGTCAGTCAGAACATCCCTCTGCCGTCGGTCTCTCGTTCTCTTGGAGCTTGCATTGAAACTGCATCTTATCGGAAAAGTTGAGAACCCATTGCGGCATAAAGAAATATTTCCAAAACCCGCAAACAGCTGTAAATACAAACATCAAGCGACAGCTTCTGGTTCGAAGCAAGGTGCCTTCTGCCGCTGCGCTGATCGTAGCATTGAAGCTCACAGTGGACGCCGGGATCCTCTTCCATTCCAGCAAATCCGGCTTTAGGATTCTGAAGCTCCAAGCCGTGATGCAAAGTGCTATCTAAGGTAGATTAGAACTCCTGACAGGATTAAGTATTTTGAAAGACAAGAAAGCAAACAACAAACAACTGGAAACACCTTCTTGGAAACGGCCCAAAAAGATGTCGCCAGGACTGCTGACGTTACCACTGAGAGTGGTGAAGAGTAGATGCGGCAACCGCACGCCATCACACAGGTAAGCCGGAGGTCTCTGTGTGTTCACATCAAATTCCGTAAAGCAGGCGCGTACTCAGAGCTGCAAGCCATTGGAGTCTCTTTTGGTTGCTAGGGCAGTATTTTTCCGAGTCTGGCCGACTAGACTGAGCATATTTGATTGGAGATTCTATAGCGTCCTGCTGATTCGAACATGCCCTTCTTCATTTCCATCCGGGGGGCCTACTCTCAAAAAGGAGCCAAGCCCTGGGACCACGCTCCACGATCCCAAGTGAGAACGTATAGAAATGGAAATTATGCTACAAAATCAACCCTAAAGTCCAAAACCCCATGAACCCCACAGGCTTCCCCAATCTGCCGCCTTTGCCCCAACATCGACTTGTGGAGTCCAAGTGCCCGCACCCACTCGCTGCCTGGACCAATCTCGGCAAGCTGGCTCTACTCAGAACGATCCCCTTTCTTCATCACAGACCGCCTGCACCACGATAATAATTCTCAATATTTTGTAACTATGAACAGTGGTGCCGCATTAGAAGTGTATTGCTGAGTCCGGGGTTATGATTAGGGCAGGGGATTGCATGGCAATTGCCCAAAACATTGCAAATGCTTGCAGGTTTTTATTACGTTCGCATTCTCGGTGTGCGCGATGGATGGCCTCCAGGAGGGTGATGCAGGGGCAAAGCGCATACAGCATTCAGTTCCATGGAAGAGGACAGAGCGTTGGAGATGCTTGGAAATTCAGATCCATCTTTTGGATGAATGTCGGTTTGGCCATGCAAGTTGACCATGGCCATCAACCACAGAGGTGTGTTGCATCTTTCAGCTTAGGAGCTGGAAGACACACACTTCAAGGTAGGAACCCAGATTTGGTCTTCTGGCAACCATGGAGTAGAAGCCGGAGGACAGTGTTTCTTCTTTTGCACGTTGGGGTTTGTCTTCTGTCGTGCGCCAAAAATCAGTGGAAAGATGCCTCATGACAAGCGCAAGGATTTCGCAGAGACTGCAAACAAGCAGATTCCATTCGCGCGCTCTTGGGCAGTTATCAATGCCTGTAAAAAAATATCAAGTTCATAGCATCCTGATGACCTGCCAGCAGCTTGTCAGCAAAGGCAACTATTTAAGGGTTGCATGCTTCAAACCTCGCTCGCGTTGCGTGTGAAACTTGGAGCAAACCGCAAAGTTGGTGAGAACGAGTAGTGAGTAGAAGCTCATACTAGTGGAAGGCTTATAACCATCATTTCCCAACCCCTCAAGCCCCCGACCTCCCACCCCCATCCCCCCAGCACCAAAAACAAGAAGAGCTTCCGCGCAGACAATGTCTCCAGCAAACCTTCGGAAAGCACCCGAATACGGTTGCTGAACTCCGCCGCAGTGGTGGTGTACATGGTCACCAAACATGAGATCAGCTGGGATCACAACTTCGGTCAGCGCTGTTACTTGGGTGATCGCAAGGTCGCAGTGTTGAAAATTGTCATGCTGAGCCCAAGAATTCCAAAATTAATTTGAGTAAAGTCATTATGGCGATGGAGGTGCCAGCAGAGGCGGCGGTGATGCTGGCACTGGATTTCATACAGCCTTTCACTTTTGCTCTGTCCAAGCCCTTGGTTCGTGCACAAGTCATGCATGATCCCGCGCCATGTTAGGTGAAAGATGGCCAAGTTCCGGTGACTCAAGAATCTTTGCATGCACTGCAGAGCATCAGCCACCAAACTGAACCATAAACACAAATGGGCACGGCAGCGGCCGACGCTTCGTTTGGAACCAGCCCAATCATCCATGCCTTTGGCGCAAGCATCGATGGCGGCTGTGTAGCTGAACTCATCCTGGCTGAAGATGAGATACTGGAGGCTTTCAAGGCCTGTAAATGCTTTAGCGCTTAAAATGTAGAGAGAGTATAGGGTTTAGTGTACTGGTGGTTGCTGTAGAATTGCGGGGTTACAGGTTCTGTCGTCTGGGAGTTTGGGGCCATTCGCTGTACCATAGGGGCGACGCAGGAACCAATCATGACGACGATTACTCATGCGACAAAGTCTACGGCCAGCGCGCGGACATCTTTATGGAGATTCCTTCTGTTGGGTACCTACGCTTCGCGTCGTTGACCATCAGCAGCACACGTTGCAAAAGAAATCCCCTACGATCGCAATGCAACTCTTGCATTACATCGCACATGCTGCCCGGCTAGGAATGGCAACACATGACACACGGAACCAGCTCCGATCCTGTGGCTGAAGTCTCACCATTTGCTACGGTGTTCTAGAACTATGCTATGCTCGCAAGGTTTGGCTATGATTAAGAATTTGCTCCCTGAATGGCGGGAAATCTATTCAACAAAAAGTATTATTACAGCATCACAAGATTGTACATTTGGTGGTCATGATATGTACTCGGAACTGCGATCAATTTCGGCTCAAGTATCTACCACATGGCTCGCAAGATATGAACAGGCGGACGCTGTCAAATTTTGTTCCTCGCATAGCTGGGGCATGAGTGGGCATGAGTTGCCAGCAGATGTTGGAGCGGTATGCACAAGCAGCATGTGCCAAGAGGCGTGGCTGCGAAGCATGTGGGCAGGAGCACCACGACGCGCGAAAATCCAGACCGCCGAAAAACATCTACACCGACATGTATCCGTTGATACATTATGAGAATCATCTCCCTAGAAGCCCAAGTAGCTGAGGTCCTATAGGATGGCTCACTGTGCCTTGTTCCCCTTTCCAAGCTCATCCAAACAGTCCGTGCAGCTGAGAAAAGTTGATATTCCTAATGCTTGGCTATCTCCACTTCTTGAGGCTACTCTCAGCACTGCATTTTCTACTATCCAACGCCAAGACAAGGCAACTGGGCTTCAAGGGCTCTGCTTTTGCAGAGTTCAATAAAATCAAAAATATGGCAACTTTGGCCGGTTTGCCGCGGCATGCACATGTCCGAAAAATGCAGGGCTCGCTCCATACATAGAGTGACCGTGTGCTAATGAAAGTGTACTGTAGCCGGAACTGCGAAATCCCGAATACCTTCTTGTTTCGAAGGGGGAGGTTCTGCTTTCGGTGTTCAACATCATGACAGGAGTGCGATGGATTCCATTAGTTGCCCACATTGACATGGAACTTGCTCGTCGTGACTACTAACCAAACGCGGCCACCGATTTTCGGGCACTCCTATACATTGCAGACAGCAGTTGGTTGGGCTGCACAGGCGAAAAATGCAGGAACTAGACTAAGACATGCATGCATGTGTGTGTGGCTTGCTATGCAAGCTGCTGGTGCTTGAGGTCAAACTGCTCTGCATTCAGCAGCCCTTCGTGCCTCAGCTGCTCCAAAAGCTCGAGCTTCCCAGCAAGGACGGCCGCTTGACCGGCCTCTGCCTCTGCCCTCTTCTGAAGCTTCTTTGCTTGCGGGTCCTCCAAGCCCACGTCAATGCAGTGCTCCTCAACACCGCGCCCACCACGGGGGTACTTGGACACCAGGTCCTTGTACTCGTGCATCCTCTGGATGAGCTGCTCCTCAGACAAATCGTTCAAGTAGCCAGAGTAGCCGAGGGGCTTTGGAATCGGAGCACACAGATTGCCACCCCGCTTCTCCACAATTGCCAACTGAGTTTTCCAAATCATTGCGTCATCATCCATGACGGGGTGGTACAAGGAAAGCTCGCAGTCCGAGATCACCTTCAGGACCCGATGCATCTCCTGCTCTGACACCCAGCCTTCCACGCAAGAGAGGTAAGCCCCGAAGCCCATGCAAGTGCCCACCGCCTGGCCGTGTAGCATTCCGGCTGGGAGCTCATAGCCAGGACACCAAGTGTGGCCGTAGGCATGGGGTCGGCACTGATGGGTCTCCCACAAATTGCCATACTCTGAGCGCACGTACCCTTCCATAGCCTTTCCGACGATGAGGTCGCAGACATCCTGGAACTCAGCATCATCGACACTGTCACCTTCTGTGCCGAACTTTGTTTGCACAGCTCGGACACCATGCTTCTCCAGCAACTCGAAGAGTGACAGGTCCTTCATGACTGCCATCTTGATGATCTCCGCAACACCATGACGAAGCCAGCCAGGGTGGAGGGTCTTCCAAAAGCCCCTGTCCGTGATGGTGAGCACTGGCGGGTGGTAGGAACCATAGAGGTTCTTGTAGTCATAGCCGTTGCAGCAAACTCGAGGCGATGGGCCAGCGTCAATGCCAGAGACGATTGACGTGCAGAGCATGACGTACGGCGTGTTTCTGGAGTACAGGGATGTGGCAAAGCCTGCAATATCTGCGATCACTCCGCCGCCGATGACCAGAAGGGGCTCCTTAAGGAAACCAATGCACTTCGAGACAACAAGGCTCCTTGTCATACTGTGAACAATAACAGTGCTTGCAGCACTATGGCACTAGCCCTGGCAAAAAACGATCGCAAAAACAACTGTAGTCGTCGTCATTGCCGTTGTAGTTGTAGTAGCAGCAAAAAGAACAGCAGCAGTACAAGAAGCAGTAGCAGTAGCAGGCAGTAGTCGTGAAAACACAAATGAGAAAGTAACAGCATAGTAGCGCTTGCAGCGACGGTGTTGCTATCGTAGTTAAAGTAGCAAGAGAAGTAGACCTCGTCCGCAAGGAGAAGGATGGTGGAAAATGTGCCATGCATGACAACAAAAGTACCATTGCACTACTGCTGCTACAACGGCAATTAGGACCGGCATCGCTCCTAAGAACAATAATACTAGTTGAGAGAAGCATCATCACGTTCACAGCTATGAAGGACACGATATATTGTGAATGCGTAGCTTCCAGAACCCTATACGAATAATACTTGTAGACACGAAGCGTGCAAAAATGCACTGCGCAGTTGACGATGGTACTGAGTTTCAAACAGGTCCCAGGCTCGTGGCGGCCGACGGAATACTTCTTCATGGCAACCAAGATCCGCTCCACATCCTCGATGCCCTTATCCACCTGAGTGAGTTCAAAAGCTTCTCAAGAGATACTGCGAAGATTCTGGAAAGACTCAAGGATTCTGAAAAGACGATGTAGAGATTCTGCTGGAAGTGGTCAGGGTGACTTGGGCATTGACTAGGACTTCTGTAACGCAAGAGCCCCTGTGGAAGCAGTTTTGATTTTGGTGCACCTCGTTTCCGCTGAAGACGAGCTTGGTGAACTCAATGTTGTGGCTGGCAAAGTAGTTATCGATCTCGTCACCGTAATGCTCATCCACCTGGCTTAATTGAACCCTCCCGAAGCGTTTCAGGATGAGAGGCTGCGTGCTGCGTCAGTGTTGGGAAGTTGTTACTGACTTGGGATCCCGTGGGTATATTTCAAACACCAGATTCGGGACCGCGCGTGCGTGGCAAGAGCGCAATTTCAAGCTCAAATTTGCCGCTACAGGGAAGAGATGCTGAACTGAACACGCAGGCCGCTAAGTCACACAAGCAGGCAGGCAGGCAGGCAGG